GACCCCTAAAAGATACAGACCCATATTTTTTGTCACAGTTCGTCCCTATTTTAATTGGGGTGGACACAGGCAAGTTGGGGTTGGATGCTTGTCCAAACGCCCCGCGCTAGGATCAAAACCGCGTTAGTCAAGCTTTTCACTTCATCATGCCCGTGCTTTACCACTGAGCTACCACGGTTTTGCTTTTTTAATGAGTGTGACACCGGGATTGGCAATAAAAATTGCCCTTATCGGGCCCGGGCACCAAGAAAATATTAGAAGAAAAAAACAGTAGTTTAAGGACAAGGCAGAAATAAGGAAAAATAAGCACAAGGTATATATAATGCTGCAGTAAAATTATATATTTAATGGCAAATTATTTAAAAGTTTTTTTTAATATATATATTTTCAGCGTCATATATTGCTAATAGTACGTAATGTAGTTTTGGAGGCTAATAAAACGAAAAAAAAAAATTCAAACAGCCTAAATTGATAATATAATTATTTGGGATTAAAATTAATTTTCATAATTATTTTTGTGAAAATATATTCCATATTTTTGGCTTTGTCTCATTAACCAATTGTAACTGGGGAAAAAAAAAAGTTTTTTTTTATTTAAACAAATTGTTTATTCAGCTGATTCGAATCATTTTTTTTATACACAATGGCCCCCATTCATCAAACTGAAATTAGTATTATTATATATTTATTTATTAATTCAAAATTATATTTATTAATTTATTTAAAATTATTATTATTTATTTATATAAAATTATTTTTATATATTTATTTATTATTTTCATTTGTATAATTCTATTTATTTATTTTAATTATTTATTCATATGATATTTAAGAAGGACCTCTCTCAGTGGTCACCGTGGCTCAAGCGGTAGCGTCCGCGACTCTGATGCGTCAGATCGAGGGTTCGCGCCCCGTCACGGTCTGAGGTTAGCAAGGGCATGCACTCAGGGTAACGATTACATCTGCCAAAACAAGTCCTTTGCAAGAAGGCAACCGTCCTAGCCCTTGGTAGAAAAGGGATTCCGTGACGTAAAACCGGAACAAACAAACAAACAACAAACATGAGCCTCTCTCATGCCTTTTTAATCAGGTAAAAATGCCTTTCTTGGGTATCATACTAGGTGAAAACTCCTATCATGCCTATTTAGTATCGCAAATATGCATCTTTCGTGAATCTAACGTAAGAAAGTTACTCTTTTCGCTTATCTAGATAGGCATATATGCCTGTCTATCTACATTGGCGAATAGGCCTCATACATGGGAAGCAAGCGAGCGTGCTAGGGATAGGAATGAGTGGCGAGCGATTGTGACGCAGCTCTGATGGGCATCTGCTGTTACCACGGGGCTGCATCTTACAGAGGTAGCCCTGTGGTAGGGGCAGTAGGGAAGTTGGCAGTTGTGAAGCGACACAGGTTGTGGAAGAGCCGGGAGGATGGGCTGTGGCACTCCAGCAGTGCCATCTGAACGGTCGCTAGCTCCATCGTCATTGCCCATAGAGCAAAGTAATCCCCTTATTGTTTTTTTTTTATGTCGGCTACCCCCCAATTAAAGGGGGAAACAGCCAAGGTAGATAGATAGATAGATAGATAGACATTGAAGCCTGTCTCACGCTTTACTTACTCTAATGTACCTCCCTTGGACATACTTGCACAGTTTAGCAAATATACCCCTTTGACTTGGCTTTAGTGCATTTTGGCGAAGCCGTTTTGACGCCGGCTGTTTGGGAGCTAAGCCCATTTGGTGATGGACCTTTAGGACCTAAGAAGATTTTCATATTTTGAAGACCTAATCTATCTTTCCAAAACGGATGTCGCCAAAATGTCTTCACCCAAATGGTATCGGCCAAACGTCTCACTCTGCTCTGATATATTTTTTTTATGAGTGTGACACCGAGACAGACAGAGAACATTTCCCTCATCAGGCTCGGCTGAAAGAATAGCCAAAGAAATGAAAACCTAGAAATATGACAGGTGGAGGCCCTAAGATGACGATAGATCAATTTTTTGAAGGAAGTTTAACTGTCCATATACGTCTCCCGCGCGCTTCGAGAGAGGCCAAAACGTCTACATGGAATATCTGTTTGTAGCGAATAAATTTTGGTTTGGATAAATAGACATTCAAATAAATAAATAAATAAATGAAAACGTAAATAAATAAATAGACGTATGAATAAATCTATAATAAATATATAAATAAGCCTAGAGCTCTCGAATATGTTTTTGTATTAGTAAGGGCATACACTCAGGGTAACGATTACATCTGCCAAAACATATCCTTCGCAAGAAGGCAACCGTCCTAGCCCTTAATAGAAAACGGAGTTCGTTAAATAAACATAACTGAATCCTTCCATTCCATATCTGCCATTGGCCTGCCATCAGACCAAGCCTTCATCAGGTCAAATGTTCTTTAAAAACTTGAGTTGTTCCTTGTTTTGAACAATTGTTCTTCTTGAAGAGAACATTTGGTCTTTTTCCTATCAGGACATATGACCCCCTCCCCCTTTTTTTTGTCAGAGATGATTTTAAATTATGTCTATTTTTTTTTTGGGGGGGTCATTGTTTCAGAGTTATGGCAAAAGAAAAAAAATGTCTATTTTGACGTTTTCAGACACATCTCAAAGAAGATGGAAAAGAAGAAAAAGTTTATTTTGAAGTTTAACTTATTTTTATGGTAGAGTCTTCTTTAACTTAAAAGACGAAAAAAAAAATTTAAAATTCATATTTTTTCAGAAAAAAGCGAAAAAAAACTTGAAGTACGCATTTATTTGTGTTATATTGAAATAAGTTTTTTCTTGAAAATATATTTTCAGGAGTACTAAGGAAACTATTTTACTCTGTTACATTTAGCCAATTTCATATTAGGATCCAGATCCTGGTAGCTCACTGGTAGAGCGCGTTTAGGCCTAGAATACAAAAATATTGAAATTGCGTTCTTAGATGTGTGTGTGTGTGTGTGTGTGTGTGTGTGTGTGTGTTTGTGTGTGTGTGTGCAATCTTGCACACACACACACATATTCATTTTAGGATCCAGATCCTGTAGCTCATTGATAGAGCGCGTTAGGCCTAGAATAAAAAAATATTGAAAATGCGTTCTTAGATGTGTGTGTGTGTGTGTGTGTGTGTGTGTATGTGTGTGTGTGTGTGTGTGTGTGTGATTACCTAATTGTGTTTACGGGAAAGAGCCCAAAGCTCGTATCTTCCCGTCTCCTCATCGATTCCATTTTATACTTAGTGATACTTATCATACCTGTCCTTAAAACTATGGATTGAGATAGCATTAACTACCTCCTCGCTTAGCGAATTCCAATTATCAACTACTCTTACACTGAAAAAGTATTTAGAAAATAAGAACATAAGAATAGAGGACACTGCAACATGCCTACACACGAGGCAGCTCCATTTTTGAATTGTATTTTCAGCATGTCTAACCTATTCTATTCTACTCTACTTATTTATTCTATTTTTCTTTTTATGATTTTTCTAATAAGCACTAACCTATTCATACCCACCCTACCTCTGTCATATGTCTATCTAATCTACATTTGAAGGTGTCTAAGGTATTGGCATTTACTATCCTACTAGGAAGCTTGTTCCATGCATCAGCTACTCTATTACCAAACCAATTTTTGCCAATTTCCCTTCTGAACCTAAATTTATCAAGCTTAAATCCATTATTACGAGTTCTGGTTTGATCATGAATTTTTAAAACTTTATTAATATCTCCCTTGTTAATCCCTTTAAACCATTTATACACTTCAGTCATATCCCCCCTAACTCTTCGCCTCTCTAGAGAATGTAGATTAAGTTTTTTTAATCTGTCCTCATATGGTAGATTTCTGATATTGTGTATCATCTTGGTCCATTCTTTTCTTACGAAGCTTCAAACTATGACCTCTAGTTCTAGGGCCAGCCATATCAAAATATCGATCCCTATCCACTCTATCATAACCATGAAGGAATTTAAAGACTGTCACCATATCCCCCCTCACTCTTCTAGCTTCGAGTGATGGTAAGTCTAATTCCCTCAGCCTCTCATCATAACTGAGATTGCGTATTTCTGGCACCAGTTTCGTGGCATATCTTTGAGTGTGTGTGTGTGTGTGTGTGTGTGTGTGTGTGTGTGTGTGTGTGTGTGTGTGTGTGTGTGTGTGTGTGTGTGTGCAGTCTTGCGTGTGATTATCACGCATCCGATACTTCAGCATTTTTTTTTTTTTTTGCGTCCGTGTTGAATTCTAGACAAAGTGCTGAGTTTGCAGTTTTTTAGACATTTTCTTAATATCCATTTATTCCGCTAGAGAATCCTAGATATGGTGACCTAATCTAGAGAATCCTCCTCCCCACTCACACACACACGCACGCACGCGCGCACGCATGCACATACATTTCAACATTAATCTTAACATACTTTTGAATCGCTTGTGTTTCTCTAAGATAGAAAAATACACATATGCTTACATACGCACTTGCGTGCTGAAATGCACGCGCACGCACGCACACACACGTAAGCAAGTATTTAGCAATTTATGCAAAGTACAGACATTTATTTGATAAGATCAGAGCTTAGGCCTAACTTTTTGGCCTATCAGATAAACTAAAAAGATGTAAGTTATGTATTGTCAAGTGTCATAATTTATGTACAATAATTATTTTATGTATCAAATGATGAAGAGCTACAGTATGGAAATTATTATTATTATTATCATTATTATTATTATTATAATTATTATTATTATTATTATTATTATTATTATTATTATTATTATTATTATTATTATTATTATTATTATCATCATCATCATCATTATCATCATCATTATCATTATCATTATCATTATCATTATTATTATTATTATTATTATTATTATTATTATTATTATTATTATTATTATCATTATCATTATCATTATTATCATTATCATTATCATTATTATTATTATTATTATTATTATTATTATTATTATTATTATTATTATTATTATTATTATTATTATGCATGTATGT